CTGCTCCTGGCCACGCCAGACCCCCCGTGCAGCCCTTCATATGTAAGATTTCCACAATGTGCATGGGAAGGCAGCTCGGAGGCGGTCTGAGGGCGGGAAGTGGCTCGGCGGTACTGCGAGCAGGCGGGTGAAGGCTCCATACAACACCGCTCGTGAGGGTGCGGGTGCTCCGTGCGCGCTGGGTCTGGCTGGGTTACCCTGGTGAAACACTCGGTGCCTTTCTGGCAAGCTGCCTCCAGCCTCTTGTCCGAAAGCAGGGTCTCCTGTGACAGCAGATGGGGGATGTTGTTCCCACTGTGCCAGGTCTGCAGCTGCTCTCGTGGGTGTGGGAGCAGAGCGAGGGGGCATGGACAGCGGCAGCAGCCTGAGGAGCTGCGGAGTTGCCCCAGGGAGCTGGCTGCTGCTGCTCCAGAGAGCCCGGCTGGCCGTGCCGGCCGGGGTGCACGGTGACCCTGCACGGACCTGCCAAAGCGGTGTCAGGAAACGTGGACTGAAAACGTTCCCGGCCTAACGGAGGGGCTGGACCTGCTCCTCGGAGCAAGCAGCTGGTTTCCCTTTTAGGGTCAGTGGCAGGCAGAAACAATTTCACACAGATTCCAGGACCCATAATGGTTCTGGAAAGCCAACAGGAACAAAAAGTGGTGTTCTCTTCTGACCTTGGAGCGCATTGAGGGCTGTCTTGCAAAGCCTTGTCCCTGGGCAGTTTCATCCTTACATGGGGAACGCTCGCCTGTCCCGGTGAGGTTGTGCTTTCTCTTCTGCATGTGTGTTTAGGTGTGAACTGCAGCCGCACAAGCTGTGCTCAGAGCAGCCAGGGAAGATGAGAATAGGCAGGAACCTGACAGGCAGTCAGAGGCAGCTCTATTCCTGTGTCCTGGAAAGATTAAGTGTTTCCCTAGGAACAGCCTTGTAGGTTGCTCTTAGGTCGCTTTGTGGAGCAACTGGTTGTGACCTGACAACGAACAACAAACTAGTGTGAAGTTACACAGGGTTCTAGGTTCACCACATGTGAGACCTCTTGATGACAGAGTTCGTTGTAGCAAGAGTCGTCTCAAAAGGCTGGTTAAACTCCTCAGTGATGGCGTGTAGCAGAAAGCCTGCCCGTGGACAGTCTGTACTGCCTCCTTTGCATAACAGGTCCCAAGTTTATCGACACTAAAATTAATGTCATAATCTCCTCAGGCTGTTGCTAAGCCATCTGCTCTGTTGCTGTGGACAATGACACCGGGGTGGTGTTAGGTGCATGTTACTCTCTAATTAGAAAGTGGACTCCGCTGTGCGTCCTTGACAAATTGCTGACCTTTCTCATACGTGAAGCTATTCTGAGATCTGTTCCAGACTGATCAGATTTGCGTCCCGGAGCACTTTAAATGTTGTTTGTGAGAGGAGCTCTTGTTCCAAAAGCTGTTTGATCATGGGCACAGGAAAGGTACTGAACTTCCTTACCTCCATAAGCACAACTGTGTCTGTCAAAGGGAAAGGGTAAGCAGCTGGCAGGCATATATCTGTTGTTTATTTTGTGCTCAGACAGCCAGCGAGACAGCTAGGAGAATACCCTGCATCCAGCTCCACTGTCCTCACGTACGAGGGACCTGTTTCGGTAGACCTTGTCCCACAGGGACCGCAGCTATCTGGTCATGGACCAGAGCAAGCACTCTCTTTCAATTGGAATCTCATAATTTTGGGGCAACGCCTTGGTTAGCATTTGAAGGCATTACTTACATCAGCCTAGCACACAGCTAATGTTTACAGGGTGGTGCAGACTGCAGAGTATGAGCACGTGTTAATTAGCACGCATAGTGATCACTGTCTATGTTATGCCTTCTAAATCTGAGCCTCAAAGGTTTTTATTTTGAATGCATTTTAAAACTCCACCTCTTTTCTTCATGAATGGGGACAATTTCCAGGTTCCTTATTACAATCATAGTAAGAATTGTGGGCTTTTGTATGATTTCTTTTAGTCTGTTTCTTTTGTCCCACCTCCTCTTCTCAATGAACTTGGTCTCCAGCAGTGCCATGTCCTCGGGGGCGAAGATGCAGAGTTTGCTTTGGCGTTGCACAGGGCTTTGACACCCCTGCTCAGCACTGCATGCAAGACCAGAACAAAGAGACCAAACAGCTTATCTAATACAAACAACCCTGAGCAAACTTCCTGGGCCTGTTCTTTTTTCTGTGGAAAAGGCAGCACGGAGTCTGATCCCGGGTGCTGTTGGCCATGTGACGCTCTGGGGACTTGCTCTGCTGGCAGTCTGTGCATCTGCCAGCCCGCTCAGGCTCCGCAGCCCGGAGAGCAGGAGCTCGGCTCACACAGTGCGCGACAGGCGTAGGCAGACTTCTGGGAGAAACTACTCAAAGCGGAGGCAAGCGTAGCACACTGCTTCAGTGCCTTCCTCCATGCATCATTTTGAGAGGCTTTGTACAGCTTTCAATTCCTCTTCTGCGGCTGCCCTGCGCTGCGCACGCTGCGGTGAAGGCAGCTCTGCAGGGCCCCCACCAAGCTGCCTGCAGCATTGCTGCTGAGCACCGGCTGGGGCTCTGCTGGGCTCAGGGTGCCAGCTGCCCTCGGCTGTGGGGGAGACCCGGACGGGCATGGCCGGGAGCCTGTGTGACAAGCAGCTTTTGGGATTGAAACGTTCCTATCCTGTAATTTCTTTTAATTGCTCTTTCAACTGATAGCTCAGCTGCCCCGGGGAGCTTGCTCTGGCCATGCCGTGGCCCTGGGCACTTGCTGTGGAGCTGGTGCTCCCACCCTGTAGCTCTCCGGTGGTTTGATGGCTGGCACCAGGTCCTGAGGGTACACATGGGGCCGGGGGACAGCACACGCTCAGGGTAGCAACACCTGCCTTGTGGTGGTTCAGAGATGCGAGAGCCGCAGCGGTCCTTGGTGGGTTTATCCTGTCCACCTCCTGCCCCTGCGACGTGGGGAAATGCTGTCCCTTGTTTTGAGTTTGGGGACTGGGGCTCACGGAGAGACAGCGTTCGGGTCAGGCTCGGCAGTGCTCAGGAGGCTGCGTCCGTGTCTCTGGTAAAACCCAAGGCTTCTCCATTCAGGTTGTTTTTCCTTCTCTCGTGTTGTCTGATGTCCTCTGACCCCATATTACAGGACTACAGAGATTGAGCACAGCCCATTGAGCAAACATGGCAGCTCCCCGCTCTGGCGGTACCGTGGCTCCCAGGGTAGGAGTGCTCATTAGAGGCCCTTTTATTACAGACACACCTTGGAAAGTTCCCTGCAACAGGGCTGGGAGGAGGAGGGTTATTAATTTGATTTTCATTCTTTGCCAGAGAGAAAGATCCCGGGTGGCTTCAGGGAGTGAAGGCAAGTGGGG